TGCGGGGTTGTCGGCGGGAGCTGCCGGTGAGTGGTCTCGCCGTAGTTCGGGGTTCTGTGTGGGTGGTCCCGGGGTCGGCTGGGCATGGGCCGTGACCCCCGGAGCGGGACACCAGGGATTGAACCTGGGACCTTCTGCATGCCAAGCAGATGCTCTACTGCTGAACTACGGCCCCTCCCCTAAACTATCACGGCTGAAAAGCAGTATACCACAGCAATAAATAACAAATGTGCCAACCGGGCTTAATGATTGGAAGTAAGGCAGAAATACTGGAACAATCAGAGATAGCCAAGCAGTGGCCAGTATGGTACAGTGGTTGAAGTGCTGGACTAGAACCCCTCTCTCAGTGTAGCCTTCCTCAAAAGGTTGTTGTGCAGAAGGGAGAATCACGTATGAACTCCCTGGAGGAATGACAAATAATATACGTTCCAAGGTGGCATCAGGAAGGGGCATTATTTAGGCTACTGAAATTAGTCCTATTTTGTTACTGATCTTTGGTATTTTTGTATATTCTGACTCTAACCTACAGCTTGTTCACAATTTGTGTTTTATAATTTTGTAACAGCCAATGGCTAATTACAATAAACTAAACTGAAACTGAATAAAAATGTATAGACAGATGGCAGAAAACAGAGGTGGTCTTAAAATTTGAGTTCAGAGTGGAGGGATACATTTCCTCTGGGGCACTAAGATTTCCTCAGGGGCCTTCAACTTGTTGCCTCACATTTATACGCCTGAAGATGTTTTCAGCTTGCGGGGTTAACGTTTTTGCATTTCTGCTACCTGAGACGCTTCGTATACTTTATCGTTCCATTCTCCCAGGACTGCACCAGACAACAACAAATATTTGCCGCAGGCCGTCTTATGATAATATATTGACTGAAAACTGCCTCTGGAAAAGGTTTTTTAATGGCATGTTTTAGTCATGGATTTTTACTGACAGCTCAGCAAACACACAGTCTCGTTCCACAGCATCCACAATTTTTTTTACATCACAACTTTACAGACACCGGGGGGGGGGGAACCTTTCAGCAAATCCATCCCAAAGCACGCTACCTGGCTCCCCCCCCCCCACCCCCCAATTTAGCCATAAAGCATTATGGCTAACTTGGGAGAAATTTCCTCAGGATGCTGGAAAAACAAGGCAAACTCTACTTTGTCCTTCAGAGTGCTTCAACTCCCCTTATTTCAGCCAGGGTCGTTATAATACTCTAATGCAGGGGTGTCGAATGTAAGGCCCGGGGGCCGGAACAGGCCTCTCCAGGGCTCTTATCTGGCCTGCGAGCAACTGGTGCGAGGGAAGGAACAGAAGAAGAGAGAAAAGATTGGATTTATACCCCGACCTTCGCTACCCAAAGGAGTCTCAGAGCGGCTCACAGGCTCCTTCTCCTCCCCCTCCCCACAACAGACACCCTGTGAGGTAGGTGGGGCTGAGAAAGCTCTCTCAAGAACTGCCCTTGACAGAAAAGCTCTGACAGAACTATGGCTTGCCCAAGGTCATCCAGCAGGTGCTAGTGGAGGAGTGGGGAATCAAACCCAGTTCTCCCAGATTAGAGTCCGCGCACTCAACCACTACACCAAACTGGCTGCTTGGAGGTGTGGGGGGGGCGAGCAGGCAGAGCAACTCTGATTCTGTCTTCAGCACAGCAGAACATTCTTGTCTGCAGCAGTAAAGCAGAACCCCTTTGCTTCAGTGGCCGCCTCACTGGTAACCTAGGAGCCACCGCAGCCACATTCATACCACACCGCAGCCACATTCATACCAGCTCGGAGTTCTAAGGTAAGGTTGATGACAGCGATCTCTGGTTACACTGGTCGCTGGGTGGTCTGGGGCCTCTGCCACATGCACAGTCTT